GATGATAAATAAAAATGAAACTAACAAATCAAACATCACAGCTCTTTGTCAATTATTGCTAAATAGTAGTTATCCTAACTCTACCAGAAAAGCTATAAAGAATAAAGTTAGAAACATTAGGAAAAACCACAACAGTAAGGACGAGGATAACGGGATATATACATCCACTGTAGTCATACCACATTTGAAAGGCATGACAGAAAAGCTTAAACAAAATTTGAGGAAAGAAAATGTTCGAACATTTACAAAACACTCAAAGAATATAGGAGATATCTTGAATAAAACTAGAATGGTAGCATGCAACCAACTTAAAAAGGAATCAAAAAATTGTATAGGATGCAAAAATGCTATCTATGGCATTTACTGCGAATGTAGCTCAGTGTATGTAGGTGAAAGCGAGTGTTTCGACAGGAGAGTTAAACAGCATCAAAATTACGTAGCCAAAGAAAAAGTTGAATTGTCAGAGATAGCCAAACATGCTGTTGCGTGTAAAAAAGAAATCAAATTCGAAGAGAGTGTAATTTTCGACAATGAGTCAAACATTTTCAAACGAAAAAGGTTAGAAAGTGTATACTCTGTTGCCAACAAATCGTACAACAATAAAAAAAGAATCAGTCATCAATGGAGACCAACGATACTAACGTTGGTCTCCATTGATGACTGATTCTTTTGGCTTTTCTTTTTTTGGCTGCGAGACTCAGTGCTTATGACTGTAGGGTTTTGTGAGAGTTTTCCAGAAACCCTGATGGGCTTAATGTTTGCGTAAACGACGTTTGTGGTAATAATAAAAGAGTTCCATACACGAAACTATACTTAATGATGTATCTAAGCATAAGAAGAATTTCAGAGGATTTAAAGGATTTTCTAGAAAATCACTGATGTTTTTACATTTAGCGAATGCCATGTGTCTTGCTTATTATAATAGTGCCATATATTCATGCTTAATATGTTCTACTGATGATCTAAAATATTAATTAATTTTAAACATTTTAAAAAAGATTATAAGATATTCTACCTAGCTGCTATAAAAGATCTTTAGAAAACTTTGAAGGTTTTACGGAAAACCTTCACAGATCCTTAAGAGAATGATGTTTCTAGTGATGATGCTTGTGTTTTGGATAGAGAAACGTGTGCTTTGTTATATGTGTATATTTAATAAATAACTTTACTACCACACATTTTTTTAAAAAGATGCCCTCAAAATCCCTCCAGGTCCACACCAGATTTTCTGGAAACCAATTATGAAGTTCAAGACCTAGAGAAACCGATCTGACCACTGGATTCAGCATGTCTGGAAACCTCTCAGTTCCAAGATTTATGTTTGTATTATAAGGGGTTGCTGAGATCTCGATATTGGAGACACGCTCATTATCTCCTCCTCTATCTATCTCTCCATCAATGGTAAGAAAACCAATGTCACTTACATTAACGCCTTTTCATATAGTTCTATCGTATTGGAATTTGTTGTGGCGTTCACTGTTGGTATGTTGTATTTTGTTATCTCAATACTATGTTGGAGAACGATGTAGTCTGCTATATGATCTTGTTTTGAAACAGTTCTTCCGTTACGATAATGAGAGATTTCGATCATTAATTTGTGATATGAATCATATCAATCTTTTACAGAAAAATTTATGTATGTTTTAACACTAACAATTAAATCTAGCCGACCATCAGGATGATATTTTTCTTTCATTTTCAATGGAATTAAGCAACACTGTCTTTCATATGCATAATAAGCTTCAGATTGACAATAAGCACTTTGTTTGTACATGTCCGACATACAGATAAATACAAATTCTGAATTTTCAATAGCATTGGCCATTTCTTGCATTTGCGATCCATAAAGATTGTCTCTATCAAACCATACATGAAATTTGTCTTTGATTAACCATTCTTGAATTTGATAACACAAGTCCTTATCAGTATGTGAAATAGCTAATCCTTACGTCATATTTGTGTCGACGATCTAATGTTTGTGCTTTTAATGTGTCCAAGTTTTTTAATGATAAGTGAGCAGTATTTGTTTCTATCGTAACCTCTTACTCATAAATTCAGCTTCTTTCTCCAGTTTCCAAATAATGCCTTCAGTTGCTTTTGGACGCCTTTTTCATCGGATAATCGAAGTGTTTTAATATGTTTCATAAAAATCTGATCAGTTTCCAGTATAGTGGCAGTTTGTTCATTGAAAGTTAGAGCCCATAAGATTTCTAATGCACGCTGCTGAACTTTAATAACATCGTATTTTGTTTCCGTCGCACATCGAATTAACAGTGGTATAACGCCTTGTGATATAAGTTCATCTTTGATTTGTGCATGCTGTACAAGTGCTGTAAAAAAGAGTGCACTGATCATACACTCGAAGTTGTATGAAAATCAGTACTACATATTATTGTTTAGAAAGATGTCACAGAAACGCATCGGAGGCAGAGATAAATGTGTAATGCTTTTTGAAATTTTGTGGTTTGTATAATACAAAATTTTTGACAAGTTCTACTCATCCAATGCTGTGCGTAACAAGTCCTTCAAGACGAACGACGTTTAAACTTTCTGGACCGTGGACGAAGAGCATCTTAGCGATCTTTTTCATCGATGGGATGATGAATAAGTTTCCCGCAGTGGGAAAGCCAAAAGAGTTCGCTTCGTCCTTATACGCTGAACGAAACCTTTTTCGAAATGAATTTTTCTGAGAACAGATATGCGATCTTTATATGAGACATACACGATGGATTATGAAGAAATGGCGCTGATACTATGAACCAAAATTCAGCTTTGGAACTCTCAATACCTTGATCCATATGGCGATGAAATACAAACTCTATTCTTTCGATTGCATCAATAATACTTTTGTGGCGAAAAACGCGCTTTCGGGTGATTGTAGAAAGCGTTCTAGAGATTTGCTGTGAGAGATTTTACCTCTGGGCTTTACCTTTATTTTAAACTTTGTTTATCAGATAACAAATCGAGAACGAACTCATGGCATGCTACGTAACAATTTCAGGCCTAAAGAGAGACGCTTGAGCTACTTCATTCTGACCCAGTTTCTACAAGGTGCAAGGCATTGATAAGCGATCATTCATAAGATGTTGGCTTGCTATTACTATTCGTGTTACCATCGAAAATCTTCAATCAAGAGATAAAAGAAATGCTGCTCTACGCCCTACTAGAGGAAAGCATGTAATATGTGGATGATCGCTTTGATGAAAGTCTCGAATGATCCCAAGGTCGGCATCATTGCCTCGATAATGTTCGTTGCAGATTTGAACAAGTTCATCTTTTGATGTTTGAGAATGTTCCATTCGGAGTAGAACTTCAATAAATAGCTGAAACCACACGAATGAGCTGTTATCTGATTTGAGATTTGTGTGTGTTCTATCGTAGATGCTGATTGAGATTGAAGCCTCTGTTTTCTCTCGTTTCGCCTGATCTTTGCATATTGTCTCGACGAGCGCCTTTAGCTCAACAATTACGCCTCCGATCTAGACAAGAGTAGCGGCAGGAAATAAACGAGATCTTCAGAATTGCGGAGCACTTTAAAGAGCACACGGAGTTCCATGACTTATTTCGTGTTTGTTTGCTGTACCCCGATAAGACGATGGAGCGACAGTGTGCCATCTCCAGACCACAAGCGGAACCATCGATTATTTAACCACGCCTAGGCTAACCCATGCATCCACAATCTGATTGTAGAGACAGAACCGAGTGTTTTTCAGAACTACGTAGTGTTTCTTTGTCGACTTGTACGGATCTGTCAAAGACAAGGCTACCATGCCATGTCGAGACAATGTTTTCTCCATCGACATTCTTGCTACTTTCCGGGTTCTGAAGACAATTACCTTTTGTTTTTACTAGTGTATGAAGTTGAACCCGAAAAAAAGGAAAATTTTCCATCACAGAGTAATCTCGGAAGAGAAATAGGAGAACTTTAATGACACTACCAGACATCTGCTCACTTGACTCACAAATCCGTGCCAGAGAAGTCGAAAAAATGGAAGAGAAGGTTTGCTTCTCTCTTCAAGTGCTCTGAAGACAACTTCTTTTACCTTTTTATAAGGTTTTGCCCATCTTTCATTCGTTCTTTTGTCCATACAGTAGACATAAATGGCGCTTAACTGGGATAAATCGTGAACTTTCGGGACAATCTCTCTGCCTAATCGGCCAGAAACGATTAGAACAATCTTTTCATCTTTGCTTTCTCCAATATGTGCTTCACACTCATTTTCACTTTCAAACGTCAATAAACAGTTGATCGATCTCCACAATTGTGTTTGTGTTTCTAAATTCTCTTTCCTTTCGTTCACCTTCGTTCGATTTTTCCAAGGGGGAAACAGCGCTTTTGTAATCTGGGCTCCGTTTCACAGGCAGTCAATTTTTTCAAATTTTGTTGTACTCCTGGAGACTCCGTGGTATTCTTCGTGAGTTCGCTGAGCCGGAAGAATTTTCCTGACTGTTTTTGAATTTTCCCCCGTTTTTTCCACTTAGCCCCATTTTCAGTCATTTTTACAGATTTTCGGGATTTCATCGGATTCTAATCCCTTTTTCCGATTTTTTCTTGTACTCCCAGAGATTCCTCCAGTTTCTCGAACTTTGGAAAGTTTGTATAAGATTCTCCAAGCTTCTGTAGGTCTGGAAGTCCACAGCTGCTTGCAGTTCTGCTGTTTCCCCTTGAATTTTTTAAGATGAAGGAAAAGTTTTCCAAAGTTGAGTCTCGATACAAAAAAAACAGTATTTACTGTTTTTCACCATGAAGAACGGTATCTTAAAATCTGGTCCCAACACATAAAATTTCGAAAAAAAATTGGTCACATTTTTGTCTCGAGATATAACTCTCGAAAATGCTTTTTGCAAGGAGAAAATACGAGAAGTATAAAAGTATTACTGTCTCGCAGAAAAGAGTTGTACTTTTCTGCTTTCTTACTAATCATAGTAAAATTGATTTATAAGTTTCTTCAAGTGTCCTTGGCGTTTAGCGTAAACTAAAAAGCAGTGGCTTTTCTTTTCAGAAACAAGCGTCTGGTCTCACAATCAAGATCGGACTTCTTTCTTCAGTGTATAGATTCACAATACAGTGAGGTTTTCTAGTGCGTAATACAGAAAAGAGCCGGATTTCTCTTTTCTGTAGAGAATGAATAGTAAAAAAAGGCATTGAGCGCCTAGATGTATCCTTGTATCTAATATGTTTGATGTCAGAAACAGGGCCGCAAATATCGGGAGGGTGTGGGATGATGCGCATCGCCAAAATAATTGAAAATGCAGTTGTTATTTTATCAATTATTCCGCGCATAAAATTTTTTGTATCAATTTTACACTACCTCAGAGAGAAAATTTGTCTTACACCCTAATGTCTGGCTACTATTTGCAGTCCTGTTCAGGAACTAGCTTGACCGGTCGGTTAATTGAGCGGTTGGAGCTAGATCATACAGACCTAGCTCGATCGGTTGGTTAAGTGGGCGCTTAACCTAGATGGTAACCTCCACAAATGCCCAAAAGTAGGTTTAATCCCTCGATCCTAGGTTAAACTTTTTGAGATGAAGCTAGCTTAACTGGGTCGAAAACCGTGTTACCTGGCTCCAACCGCCCGATTCTAGCTTCATTCTTTTGCTTGGGCGTTAAGGTCCTACAAGTCCATATTCTCGTCCTCAGCTAGCCACAGATATGTACTTGCAGGAAAAGTCTCCATTTGCCGCAACTGCAACCTTGGCATAATGTGCTGTATCAAGTATCTAACGACGAAACAAAATTAAAGGAACGTTGCTCGAGAAACTTATCTGTTACTTTTTTGCAGAAAAGTAAGAGATATCAAGAATAAGTTATTTTCAGATGTTCTCAATCAACTCTTGTTACAAAATTGGGTGTATATTTTTTTATTTATGACTAGAAACACTTTCACGTCACTTGGCTGTCGTACAGCAGAAATTAGTTACCCTTGAACTGGAATTGGAAGTAAAACAATTGCCGACAGTCGCTCATGTCGCAGACCGTTTAAAATCATATTCGTCAACTGATTAAGACTCTTGAAGTACTCTCTCAACGAGCTCAGACTCTACCGAGTCATGGTGTAATTGAGAGTATAAAATAAAATAAAGATACAGATGAAACAAAATGGATAGCTGATAAAAAGTAAAGTATTGGTGGAGAAAAATTTAATCCCATACTTGAAAGCGAACGAAGAAGTCATAGGACGAAGACAACATCCATCGTTGAACAAAGAGATTCTGGAGTACGAATATCGGCTATTCATGTAAATTTCGCGCATACGTAATATGTAGATATATATCGTATGTCTGTTCGTATTCTACTTCATACTGAACTATACAGCGTCATATGACGGAGAGCAGGCGCTTGCACCAGAAAAATGAGTTACAAGCTACTCTTCTACTACTGTTTCTTGTTGATTAAACTACATGTGAGCGAATCGTAATTTTTTTGTACAATTGTAATTTTACGATATTTTTTCAATAACTACTGTCATTGCCCACCGGTTTCGAAACGTTTTTGTTTTACTCGCGGATTCGAATGGCTAGTAGCAGTATTATGACCACCTGTGATAGACTTCGACGTCATACGAGGCTCAGAACCGTAGCTTTTTCTTTTTTTCTATAGTTGTTTTGTAACACATTTATCAGGTAATATGGTATTAATGAAGCAAATTTCGGCTGAAACGGAAAACGCTATTATTGATAAACACGCTCCCTTGTCAATGCAACCAATACAGATCGAAGAAAGCCGGAACGGTAAACTTTCTCAGACACTTAATGAAATCGTGAGTGAACTTTAGTGGCGTTTTTCGAGATAAACCGCGTTTTTTATAGGTGTTTTGCGTTTTTTCCCTTATATCAACTGCTGGTAGACTCACTAGATTGCTTGTCTCAAGACGAGTCGAATGGTATGTCATAAGTTTGTTTTGGGCGAGTATTTTGCATAGATTCCGTTGAAATCCCATCGAGCGCTAGAAACCGACCTTCTTATTGAAATATCTCAGCCAGTTCGCGTCTGGTAGTTGGGAAATTTTTTGTGGGGCCTCAATGTAGATGGTGTTGGAAAAAGTGTACATATATATCACAAGATTGTGTCGGCGATCACTGGTAAATTGAAAGCAGACTGTTTTAACAATCTCTCAACACTCAAAAAAGAATACGAACGAACAATCATGCCAAATACACCAGTTTCGGGAATAATTCAGTTTAATTCATACGAGCCATGCTATATTATATGCATAAATTCGGTAGCTCTCTCGTTCTGGAAACGATATGTTAATGAAGAGGATGCGGAGATTACATGGGACGCCACAGGAGGAATAATTCAGTGCAAAGCAACACGAAAGAAGGTACTTTATTATGAAATGACTGCTGCGAATCCGGTCAAACGTGCCACATCCATTCCACTCACTTTTTTATTATCGGAAAATCATGATCTAACGACAGTCAAACATTGGATGGAACTTTTTAAAGCATTATACAAAAAACAGTTTGCACAAAGCAATGAAACACCGTTTCCAGTTCCGAGATATATCATCAATGATCGTGCACAAGTGTTTGTGCAGGCTGCTTTGCGAGTGTTTAACAATGAAACGTTTACGGATTTTAATCAGCGAGCATATAGAATCATCACAGGTTTGTGAGATACAATCAATGTCGCATATTTTCGTTTTATGATGATAGTTCTTCTTTACCATTGGCGATCTGTATCTTGTTAGCATATAGTATCGGTTAACCAAATATTAGAACATCATAGCTGTAAGAAATAAAAGAAACGTTTGTTAGATAAACTACTTTGACAATCTAATACTCGTACAAACTTATTGATACAAGAAGACCTTTATTATAGGTAAAACAGTAGCCGTATTTCTTTTAGGCTCGTATACCAGCGATGATTTACGCAAGACAATTCCACACGCATGCACAGCTCATATTATGAAAGATTTTAAGATATTATGTAAGAAATCTAGGTTGAATAAAGAACATAT